GTGTCTGTCCCATCAATTGGCGATGGTCGGCGACCTGCCTACCACGGTGTTGACGGGTAACGGGGAATCAGGGTTCGATTCCGGAGAGGGAGCCTGCGAAACGGCTACCACCTCCAAGGAGGGCAGCAGGCGCGCAACTTACCCAATCCCGACACGGGGAGGTAGTGACGAAAAATAACGTGGCGGGGCCCTTTCGTGGTCGCCGCGGGCGGAATGAGCGCAATTTAAAAGAGTGTGCGAGGAGCTATTGGAGGGCAAGCCTGGTGCCAGCAGCCGCGGTAATTCCAGCTCCAATAGCCTATATCGGAGTTGCTGCGGTTAAAAAGCTCGTCGTTGGATCTCGGAGGCGGCACGGTCGGGCGCGATACGCTGCGGGTCCGACCGGCGATTTCTCGGCCGTCCCTAACCAGCGCGCGGGGCGAGGTGGACTTCGCGGTCCTGCCTCGTTTTTCTCCTTCACGGGAGAGAACCCGCCGCATTTTCTGTCTACCTTGAAAAAATTAGAGTGCTAAAGGCAGGCTAAAACCCCGAGCCTGAATATTTCGTGCATGGAATAAGCGGGGATGCTCTTNTCCGGAGGGCGGTCCGACCGACTGGCGACGTCGCTTTCGCTGTCGGTTTCGCCGGAGAGCTAGGATTCGAGAGGAACGGTGGGGGGCGAGCGTACCGGGCGGGGAGAGGTGAAATTTTGTGATCCGCTCGGGACGACTCGAAGCGAAAGCGCTGGCCCCGGACGTCTTCCTTAATCCAGAACGAAGGTGGGTGGAGCAAAGACGATCAGATACCGTCGTAGTACCGACGGTAAACGCTGCCGACCGGGCCGCGGACGAGGCTCGAGAACAGCGGTTATGGACCCGTCCGTGGCGGCTTCGGGCAACCTGAGAGTTTACGGGTTCCGGGGGTAGTATGGTCGCAAGGCTGAAACTTGAAGGAATTGACGGAAGGGCACCACAAGGAGTGGAGCCTGCGGCTTAATTTGACTCAACACGGGGCAACTTACCCGGTCCGGACATCGTCAGGATTGACAGACGCTCGTGCAGTTCTTTCTCGATTCGATGGGTGGTGGTGCATGGCCGTTCGTGGCTGGTGAAGTGAAAAGTCTGGTTTATTCCGCTAACGGGCGAGGCCTCGCCCTTAACTAGTCGGCTCGTGGTTCTCGAATCGTAGTCTCCCTTCGGGGAGCAGGGAGAACATCGGGCGAGTCGCAGCGATCGTCGCTACTTCTTAGGGGGATCCCGAGCAAGCTTAAGCTAGGTGAGAGAGATCAATAACAGGTCAGTGATGCCCTTAGATGTCCGGGGCCGCACGCGCGCTACACTGAAGACGAAAGCGCGAGTGCTA